ACCCCCCCCCCCCCCCCCCCCCCCGTGCCTGTGTCTCACTGAGCCCCGTACCGGTGCCCCCCCCCCCTCTTCTTCCTTCCTTTCGACGTCGTACGACCTTGTCATCAACGGCGACGACAATGACAGGTTTTTCGACGGCAGCAGGGGGTGGACGAGGACTCGTCCCCTCTGTCGGAGGAAGCCATGGACAAGAGCAGGGCGGAGCTTGCCGAGCTGGAGAGAAAGTTCCTTGAACGCGTGGCGGAGACAACATCCAAGCTCAAGCAGGGGGGTGGGAGGGGCGGCGGCGGCGGTGGGGTAGGAGCTAGCGGGTGAGTGCCTCCGCTGCGTGTTGACTGTCTTCCCACGCACACACTCTGTTGTGGATTTTGCGAAACGACCAAGGCATCATTGTCCATGCCTGCACAACCTCTCTCTCTCTCTCTCCCGGCTCATCATGCGTCATTGGTCCTTTAATTTGGAAGGTTGGCATTCAAGAATTTTTTTATTGTATAAGTAGGGTTGGATCATAGGGGGGGTCCATTTACATGCATAATCTACCTCGAAGTCACTTCTCAGTGTTCTCATGTCCCACAAATGTCTTACCCCCCCCCCCTGTATCGATCATGTCGCGGTGCCCCTTTCCAACCCCCGGTGAAAGCTACGCGAGGTCGCCTGCAGGTTTCGGCGCGGGGGAACCACCAACGACAAGATCATCAGGGGTGGCCACGGTGCGTCGTCCGCCCTCTCACATGGACAACCCCTGAAGTGGACGGCGCTTGGGTCCCACCCACCCGCCCCAAGTAGCGTTTGCTTCGACTGCTGCCCAGCTGTCCGAAAAAACGTTTGTGTCGACTGTTGAGTTTTGTTTGTTCAGGCGTTGCTTGTGGTGCCCGCCCCCTTACCCTATACGGAGTCCGTATTTTATATTTATCCTTTCTTTTTTGACACAAGCCTGTGTCCTCTCAGCATATCTTTCGCGAAATTCCGGCCGACCTCGATTGCGCTCAGGCCGTGGTGATCCGTCGGGCGTATTGTGATGCCCACCTCACGCCTGGCGAGCATACCCCCCCAACCTCTCTCCTCTCCCCCTTTGGAGGCGCCGCCGTCGTAGTGGTTTTTGCAACATTTCTCCCAATGAGGAGACTGGTGCCAGACCACTTGTAGGTTGCTGTTGATTGGCGTCTTCGCAAGGCGTTACGGCTGAAACCAAACAATGCTGTTGTACTTGGCCCTCTGAGCGAACCCCGCGCTCGTCCTGCCTCCCCCCCCCCCCTCCCCTTCTTTTTTTGTTCCTCGACCAGGCCCAGAGGTTCCTCTCCCCGAACAGCGGGTCCTGGGGCCAAGAGGGTGAGGGGGACGACGGACAGGAGTCCAATGAGGAGGAAAAAAGTGAGGGGGGTGACGCGAAGGTGCGGGCTAACGGGAGCAGCAGACGGCAGGTGACCGACCCCTCTTGTAGGCACCCCCTTGAGCAGCGGAAGTGGATGCAAAGCCTCTCGTCAAACCCAAGTGTGTTATTTGCTCAGTGAAGGTTGATGCACACTCTTCGAGCAAGGCTGACAACTTGGGACGCTGGAAGAGGTCCTCGCAACAGTTTGAGAAGCTTGTTGTGGGGGTCGGGATGTGCTGCTGTGGTTGAAAGGAGTGTAGCATACGCGAGAAGATGTCAGCAGCTCTCACCTTTTTCGTACAACGTGGGACGGGACGGGTTGCTTGGTGTCTCGGTGGGACAAGAAAACACCGGCCGCTGATTGGTCGAATCGACCTCTATTGTTCTTCAAGGGTCCTCTGAAAGTAGGAAAAGCTTGCACCGTCTACCCCAACTCTCCTTTAGGGTCTGATCTCCCCCAGTCCTCGCACATTATCGAAATTTCTGCTGGCCTGCTGACCCTCACGCCTCTCTTGCTACAGCAGGGTTTCGGACCCGCCGGAGCAGCGGAAGAGGAAGGGGAGGAGGAGGAGGAGGAGGAGATTCCGGTTCCGTCACAGTCCAACAAGAGACAGCGGAATCTTCGAGTCAGGGCCCGGCCTAAGCAGCGGCAGCAGCAGCAGCAGCAGCAGCAGTCGCAAAGCGCGCGCGTTAGGACAACCTCGAACCCCGTGAGTCACGACAGAGTCCTGCTGTAGCTCTTGCAACGGATTGTTTGGTTATTGAGTGGCAATGCTCGGTCGGTGAAGCCGAAACATCTCTTCGATGATATTTTTTGCTGCTGAATCTGCAAGATCGCACGCAGACAAGAGCGCGTGCGTACCACGCTCGCGCCAGCACGGAACATATTTTTGTTTGTCGACTATTGCGCGTGCATGTTTTCAGCCAGCCCCCTGTAAAGCGGTTGTTTTAAACCGATCTCTGAGAGTTATTTATAGGAGGATCGGTTGTAGTCTTTTTTTTTTTGTCTCCCGCGCAGGTCACCGCACCTCGCTGCTTCGTCCTGGATCATTTATAACCCCCCCCCCCTCCAACCCTAACCCCCCACTCGGTGTTTGCCATCGGGATTGGGTTTTCGTCGATTGGCAACGACGTTGTAAAACAAGCCAATTCACTTCGTGAACTCGGCAACCAGGTTACCGTCTTTTTTTTTTACCTCTGGTTTTTTTTTGGCGGTAACCATAATGGTGGTCGAGTAGATCATGTTGTGCGGGGTCGAGAAACCTCACTCCGCGCAACGGGGGATGATCGCACCACGTTGTGTTAAAATGGTCAAGCTTCCTCGAGGCAGTTACACAGTGCTTACAACTGTCTCTGGAAGTGAAAGCACCAGAAAATAAATTAAGTCATACGTAGCTGTCATCCGTACGCAAGGAAGTAAGCACAAGATGCCGAACACCCTTAGCAGGATGCAGCTCACCCTTCATGCAACTCGCCAAATACCTCACGGCGCTTCGCGCTTGGTGATGTGAGAGCCTGGTCCGGTGAGAACCCGGCGTGCCCCGTCCCGGCTTTGTAGGGATGCGAGGTCAATGGTCAAACGACTACGGCATGCACGACTATGAGTACACCCCCCCCCCCTCCAACCCCAGCCGCGTGCCCCCGACCGCGGCCCTTGCCCAAAGCGAAATCATCGCGTTTCCTTACCCAGGATGATTCTGAAGGTTGTCGACGATTGACATGTGTCTTGACAGCAGTTATCCCCTCCAACACGCGCGCTCGCGCACCCCCGTTGATATTCTACAGGCGAAGGCCAACAAGAGGCGGAAGGGCACCTCGCTGCCCGCGAGCATAAGCGAGGGAGACCAAGAAGACCTATCGGACGGCGGCGGTAACACGAGCAGCTCGGCGGCGGCGGCGGCCACCGCGGGGCGGGAAAGTGGTAGCGGGAGGGTCGAAACGGCCTCTGCTACTGCGAACGGAGCCGCCGGCTCCGAGACGTCATCCCCAGCGACCGGCAAGGCGAAATGGGTTAATGGGAAGAGGTCGGTGGCGGCGGCGGTGTCTGACGATACTTCGAGGGCGGGGGCGACGACGGTGGGGACCAATGGCAGGGCTAGGAAGCGCAAGGAGTCGGCGAGAAAGGGAAAGCAGAGTCGGTCGGAGGAAGGGGAGCCGCCGACGGGGGTAGTGCAGCGGCAACAGCATCAGCAGCACAAGCAGCACGCCGATCAGCTGCAGCAGCAGCAGCTGAACAGGCACCGACAGCAGCAGCACCTGCAGCTTCAGCAGCACCTGCACATGCAGCTCCAACAGCAGCAGCAGCATCCGGCAGCGATAATGGGAGCGCTCGGCCATGGCCACACCCAACCGCATCTACACCAGCAACAGCAGCAGCAGCAGCAGCAGCCACCGCTCCCAGCCGCGGGCAACGCTGCCTTCGGGTTCGATCAGGATGGTGGGCCCGTTCCCCGCGCCCAGACGCTAAACTCTTTGCCTTCGAATTCCATGACGGGGAGCCTTAGCGTGCAGGTGATCTATCTATCTCTCCGGCCGTCCGTATGTGTGTTCATTATGCTATTATATATAGCATCGACTGCGCTAGCCGGCTGACCAGTGAAAAGCCGTCGGTTTCAGTGCGGTTGAAAACACAAAATGCTTCAAAAGGCTCTGGTCTGGGGGCCCGTGAGAAGGCGTCATGGGGGAGGTTTGGTTGCTCTTCAGGCTCAAGACAGAAACGATAACAACGTAAGAAAACCGTCCGTGTGTGTGTGTGTTTTGTGTGTCTTTTTTTGGGTTTTGAACAAGCCACCGTGTGCCTGCTTTACTCGCTGTCGTCCAGAACCTGGCGATGTTGCTGGGCATGAGTGGAGGGGGTGGGGGCGGCGGCGGCGGCGGCGGCGGCAGCGGTGCCGCCGAGAGCAGCGGAGGGTCTGGGGCAGGGTCGCATCAGCTCCCGGGCCATGGTCTTACGTCTTCCGGTAAGCTGTGGTGTTAGTGTTGCTGCTGCTGCTGCTGCTGTTGTTGCTGGTACCGCTGTTGTTGTTGCTGATGCTGCCGCTGCTGCTGCTGTAGATGAGGTTGGGTGTGACCATGACCGAGCACTCCCATGATCGGCACGCCTCCTGCTGCTGGATGCTGCTGTTGCTGCTGCAGCTGCTGCAGTTGCTGCAGTTTTTGGGGCGGCAGCTATCGTGGCTGTTGATGCATTTTTTATTCCCCACCTATTTCCGACACACACGAAACTCCAATACAGTACGAGCTCGAATTATTGTTGGGGCGGTGGGGAGGGGAGGTGGAGGGGTTCTAGCTGTGCTTCCAGAGAACGGCTGCGCGGGTCCCCTTAGGTC